TCTTATACACATCTAGATGTGTATAAGAGACAGGGGGAAAGGGGGGGGGAAGGGCGGGGGAGGCGGCGGGCAGAAGAAACAGAAACAAACAAGCAAGCAAACAAAGAAACAAACAAACAAACAAACAAAGGTGGTAACGAAGAAGAAAAAGAAAAATGATTCCAGAGCAGGATTATGAAGGAGAAGCTTTCAACTGCAGAGGAGGATAGACAAAAGGGTCTGCTTTGTCAAGAGGAGGAGGAGGAGGAGGGGGAGGGGGAGGAGGAGGAGCGGGAGAGACGATGTAACTTAACACTGTACGGTAGTGGAAAGTAACTCGAGGATTTTTTATTTTTATTTTTATTTTTATTTTTTTATTTTTTTATTTTTTTTATTTTTAGGTTGTGCAGGCTGAGGTATAGGCAGGCACTACTACCCTGACGGTCAGTGCTATAACCACAGTCTAAGAGCACACGCAGGGCAGAGCAGGGCATTCCAAGGCCGGGAACTCCAAATGGTACCCAGTCCCTCAGCGACCCTTTCCCCCCCAACTGTGTATGTTGTAAGCACAGCCAGCAGGATGCTCAAAGGGCAAGACCCCCTGTACAACATCTACACAACCTTGCGACCGTCCCCCCGTGGGGTACCCAACCGGGGATGCAAATGCGCCGGAATCCAGTATGGCGGATTCCAATCGCGGGCACTCGTTCGAGCCAGCCAGGACTCGAGCCCGCAGCCAGTGTCTTGCAACAAAGGAACCTGCACATTTTGGCATAATTAAGGCATTTCGCACTCGGGTAGTAGCTGCGAACCCCCTTTTTTTGGGGTTTTTTTTTTTTTTTTTGCAAAACAGAACCTTACGGTTCGGACTCCTTTCCATTCCAGCGAGCGTCTGTCCGGTTCCTATTCCACCACCAAGTCAAAGAATTACATCAGTTACACATCAACGCTCCTCCCCATTATGGATGAGAGGTCCGAGTGGACGGCATTGATTACTTCCTTTGGGAAGGATGTACCACCCCTCGCCCCTCCCTAAGTTAAGTTAGCCGATTTGTTAAATCCTTCTGGGGCTAAACTTAGACTGCCTGCTAAAAAACTTTCAAAAAAGCTGTGGACCCTCTTAGTGCTGATGTTTTGCATACTGGACCTGCGCATCTTGCTAGCAGACTGGATAACCGGAAGCATACTTCACAGGGTGAATGTGGTAGTTTGGGAAAATACTACCCTAAAGGTGGAAGGCGAACTAGAGTAAGACTGCCTGTGAGGCAGAGGAGGAGGAGGAGGAGGAGGAGGAGGAGAAGGAAGAAAGGAGGAGGAAGAGGAGGAACAAATGAAGAGGACGAGAAAAAAGAAGGGGGATTGGGTTGTGGGTTGTGGGTTCGGGGTTTGGGGTTTCGGATTTTAGGGTTTAGGGTTAGGATTTAGAGTGTAAGGTGTAGGGACTTGGGTTAGGGGCTAGGAGGTAGAGGTTAGGGTGTAGGGTTTAGGATTCATGATGGAGGATGTAGGGTGTAGGGTGTAGGGTGTAGGGTGTAGGATTAGGATGTAGGGTGTGGGGTGTAGGGGTTAGAGGTTAGGGGTTAGCGGTTAGGGTGTAGGGGCTTGGGTTAGGGCCTACGAGGTAGAGGCTAGGGTGGAGGGTTTATGGTTCATGATGGAGGATGTAGGGTGTAGGGTGTAGGGTGTAGGATTAGGATGTACGGGTATAGAGGGTAGAGGGTAGGGTGTGGGTTGTAGGGGTTAGACGTGAGGGGTTAGCAGTTAGGGTGTAGGTGTTAGGATTTCACCTTCTATGTCTTGTGTTCAGGGTTTGGGGTTGAGGGTAAGGGTGTAGGGTGGGGTGTACGGTTTAGGGTTTAGGTTTAGAGTATATGCTGGAGAGTGTAGGGTGTCGGGTGTCGGGTGTCGGGTGTAGGGTGTCGGGTGTAGGGTGTAGGGAGTAGGATGTAGGGTGTAGGGTGTAGGGTGTAGGGCGTCCAGTGTAGAGTTTAGAGTGTAGGGTGTAGGGTGTAGGGTGTAGGGTTTAGGGTTTAGAGTTTGTGATGGAGGGTGTAGGGTTTAGGGTTTAGAGTTTATGCTGGAGGGTGTAGGGTTTAGGATTTAGAGTTTATGATGGAGGGTGTACGGTGTACAGTGTAGGGTGTAGGGTGTAGCGTGCAGGGTGTAAGGTGTAGGTGTTAGGGGTTAGGGGTTTGTGTTTTGTGTTTTGTGTTTTGCGTTTCATGTTTGGGGTGTAGAGTGTACGGGTGTAGCAGTTAGTGGTTAGGGTTTAGGGTTTAGAGTGTCGGGTGCCCCACGTAGGGGGTAGGGTGCCCTGAGTAGGGTGTAGGGTGTAGGGATTAGCCTGATGTTGATGATGACGAGGAAGAGGAGGAGGAGAAGGATAAGGAAGGGGAGGAAGAGGAATAGATGATGTCAACAGAACTCGAAACAGAAATAAAGTTCGGAATTGATGTCAACAGCTAAGAACAAGGGAGAACACAGGTGAAACTTTCGAGTTGATATCTCAATTGTTAGGTTGGCCACATTTCTCTTTAAACCACTACCGTACCTTTGCCGCGTGGGAAAATAGCAGGCCTCGGGTGGGCCTCCGACCTTTTCGGAGGGCCGAAACGAAACAACGGCCGCCGATCAGATTTATCAATGGCAGCCGTCGTCGGCCCCGGCCTCCATATTTTTAGGAGTTTGGGAAAACTGCCACTTTTTCCTACTTTCCCAACACTGGCGGAGGTACTAGTGGTTTAAAGGGGGGTGAAAACCTGTCAACGTTTGCCTCCCTTCCCAAAACGCTCAGTTTTCAGAAGCAGTCCGTTTCTAAGTTGAAAAACAGGTCAGAAGAAGAAGAAGAAGAAGAAGAAGAAGAAGAAGAAGAAGAAGAAGAAGAAGAAGAAGAAAGGGAGAAGAAAGGGAGAAAAAGAAGAAGAAGAANAGAAGAAGAAGAAGAAGAAGAAGAAGAAGAAGAAGAAGAAGAAGAAGAAGAAGAAGAAGAAAGGGAGGAGAAGAAGAAGAAGAAGAAGAAGAAGAAGAAGAAGAAGAAGAAAGGGACAAGAAGAGGAAGAAGAAGAAGAAGAAGAAGAAGAAGAAGAAGAAGAAGAAAGGGAGAAGTCCCTAGCATTATAATTCTACATGCATGTGTGTACCATGCAGTCACAACGAGGATATGCCGTTCCGAATTAAAAAAAAAAAAACATTACTAAAAAGCATTCTCTCATTTCATAAACTACTCACTGTCTTTGAGGATTACGGTTCACAGCAGGAGATAATAAATGGGGCCAGCCTAGGCTACCAGAGTGGCCCGGGTCCACTTGCCCGGCCGGGCCAAAAAGAAATAAAAAATACAAATAAAAAAATATTTTTCGATTTAAATTTTTATTATAAATTTGGTAAAGAATTTCGATGTGACGGTGAGGCAAACGTTGTTCAGTTTATTTTTCTGCATAACATAGTTTTTTTTCGGATGTTTTGGAATTTTTTTATTTATTTTTGGCTGGGACCTTCCCAGCCGGGCCGCCCGGGAAAATAGGGTGACCCGGCGGCCCAGCTGGTAGCCTAGGTTTTTGGCACTTTTGCCCTTTTTTGGGTTAGCCTCCTGACGAGTCAGCACAACTCCGACCAAGCCGTCTGTCACAGCCTGTTTTTTTTTTTTTTTTTTGGGGGGGGGTGCGGGGGTGCGTGGGTCCTTCTCCTCTCCTCCCTTTCTGCCTACACTGTTTGCCAAGGATATCTCAGTGACTATGTATGTATGGCAATATATAGTTGGTGACTATGTGTGTATAACTATATAATAGGTAATAGATGTAGGTAGGAGCTTAAGAAGACCTTGAAGGAAGGACCCATGTTTTTTTTTTTTTTTTGACGTGCGATTTTGTTGTCAGGGTTTGGGGCAATCGAGTTAAGTCCGTCATTCAGAGATTTCGTCAGTCAGAGTGAATACAATACGCTTACCCGTCCAAGTTCCTCATTCAGATTGGAAGTCCTTGCCTCTGCTGGCTTGTCTGTTTCTTCATGGTACATCTGACGATCTTTGTTGATGAAGATGATTTGCAGGATTTTTACCATCTCGATGGAAACGTAGAGAGATATTGGGATAAGAAAACCTGTGGCAGAGCATGACGCAGAAATCAAGGTGTGTGTCACAGCAACTCCTGCATGAATCCTTTCAAGAACGGTTGCAGCAGAACAACACAGACCTGCGCTTGATTGGTTGATGGGTTGATGGGTTGATGGGTTGATGGGTTGATGGGTTGATGGGTTGATTATCCAACCGAAACACACGTAGTTGATTGGTTGGTTGTTTGGTTAATTGGTTGATTGGTTGGTTGGTTGATTGGTTGATTGGTTGATTGGTTGATTGGTTGGTTGTTTGGATGGATGATTGGTTGATTGGTTGATTGGTTGATTGGTTGATTGGTTGATTTGATTGGTTGGGTTGGATGAATGCTTTGCGTGCTTTGCTGGTTGAGTTGACTGACTGATTGGTTTGCTGAATTTGTTGACGGAGTGGTTCACGGGACCATTGGCTGATTGGCTGATTGGCTGATTAAAGTAGTTGGCTGATTGGCTGATTGGCTGATTGGCTGATTAAAGTAGTTGGCTGATTGGTGTGGTGATCCTTTGGCCGGCCAGACTCGGTTGGTTGGTTGGTTGGTTGATTGATGGATATATGATGGATGGAAGGATGGACTGAGTAATTACTGATTGATTAACTGGTTGGTTGATTGATTGATTGATTGATTGATTGATTGATTGATTGTTGATTGGTTTGTTGGTCGGTTGATTTTGAATAGCATAGCATAACATAGCTTAAGACAGAATTAAAAACTATAGCTTGACATAACATAGAACGTCTCTGTGTCCTTTAGGTCGTTTTGTACGTCAATGCATTAGTTTGTGCGTGTGTATCCTAACACTCCTTTCCAGGAAACAGTTATAATTTCCGCCAAGATCTATTTGCATAAATCTTCTACGGGAAAGGGGGAAAGGGGTGGGTGGAGAGGGGGGGGAAGGTGCGGGAGGAGGGGGGGAGAATAAATGACTGACGTCTCTCTGCGTCTCGAACGGGACAAGAGAAGACAAAAAGCCTAAGCAAATCAAATTTAATTCATTATATAAGTGATCAAAACGAAACTTCCTTCACATGCATTTATCCTCCAAATCATTTGCAGTCGCTTCCGTCTCTCGCTCTCTCCCTTCACGTATTTTTCTCTCTTCCGCCTCTTCCCTCTCTTCCGCCTCTTCTCTCTCTCTCTTCCGCCTCTTCCCTCTTCTACACCTCCTTGCTAACCTTACCACTCCTCCCCCTTTCCCGCCTACTCCTTCCCGCCTACTCCTTCCCACCTACTCCTTCCCACCCACTCCCTGCCACCCCGCCTCCCTCCCCCTCCCCCTCCCCTCCTCCTCCTGGTATAATCCTTCCCCCCTCCTCCACCTCGGCCTATCCCTTCTTTGCCTCCTCCTCCCCGCCTTCCCCTCCTTCCCGACTCTTCCTCCTCTTCCAGCCTACCAAGTTCTTCCCCACCTCCTGTGAATGGCCAGGTGCAGCAATCTGTGCACACACGTGCACATGTGCAGCCCCCGCGGGGCATTGTGACAGACGCAGTCCGGCAAATCAGGTTCACACGTACTCTTTTTTTTTTTTTTTTTTTTTTTTTTGGACACGCGCGCAAATCAGTTCACACGTACTGAGAGCATACGTGTGAGTAAGTCTTTTTCTTTTTATCCGTTTTGGGCACCAATGAAAAAAAGAAAAAAGAAAAAAAAAGACGTGCCTCAGGATTGATTGAACGCCTTCTCCTTTCCCTTCGGGCGCAGCCACCCTCCGTTCCAATCATCGAGCCTGGTGGTCCAAACTGTGACCCTGGCCCCAAATCATGCACCTGGTCCCAATCATGAACTTAGTCCCAAACTCTCCCAATAATTGAATATGAAACGGAACCCAATCAGGAAACTAGTTCCAATCAAAAGAATCTGAACCCTAATGATGAGCCTGATACCAGTCATTGAACCTGGGGTCCCAATCAATCAATCTTTGAACCTGGGGTCCCAACCAATCAATCATTGAACCTGCGGCCCCAATCAATCATTGGACCTGAGGTCCCAATCAATCATTGCACCTGGGGTCCCAACCAATCCATTGGATCTGAGGTCCCAATCAAATCGATCATTGAACCTGCGGTCCCAATCAAATCAATCATTGAACCTGAGGTCCCAATCACATGGCGGCACACTGTGCCACGTCATCATTTTACCAACTTGTCAATTTCGTACGGAACTGAGTTGAGCAGGGAGAGGAATTGTGCGTTGGTGAGGTTAAGGGAAGAAGAGTTTTGTGTGGGGACCACCACTCACCGTACAGCACGAAGAAGAGTGGTGTGTGATGTGTGGGGACCACCACTCACCGTACAGCACGAAGAAGAGTGGTGTGTGGTGTGTGGTGTGTGGGGACCACCACTCACCGTACAGCACGACGCTGGTCAGCCACATGAGTAAGGCCGCCTCAGCCGGTCGATCAGGGTCACTGTGCCACGTCATCATTTCACAATCAAATCAATCATTGGACCTGGTCCCATCGTGGCGCCTCACTGTGCCACGTCATCATTTCACTTTCACTTGTCAATTTCGCACTGAACTGAGTTGAGCAGGGAGAGGAATTGTGGGTGGGTGAGGAGGTTGAGGGAAGAAGAGTGGCGTGTGGGGACCACCACTCACCGTACAGTACGACGCTGGTCAGCCACATGAGTAACGCCGCCTCAGCCGGTCGATCAGGGTCGAACAAGATGGATGAATGGTCCGAGTCCAAGTACCATAACTTGGACCCCCATTTCTCCAGCCACGTGCCATAAGCGACGGCCGTGATCGATCCCAGGAAGAAGAGGATTGCAAACATGAAGAGGATGACATAATCCAACCTCCTCTCGACAGAGCTGCGCTTCGACGGCGGGTGTGCTGTGTTCATCATGACCTTGGTCTCGTGGCCGGTGAATACAACTGCACCATAAACGAACTCGGTGTTCCTTAACGAGGCCCCCCGCAACAAAAGACTAAGAGGGGTGATCTCCACCGGACGATCTTGCCAATCAAGGGTCAAATGACCGCGAAAGGTGTATAGAGAAGCGTTAGGCAGCTCACAAACAATGGAGGAACCAATCAAGTCGTCAATGGTCCTGCGTCGTATGTCCGCCGTTTGATCGAGACATCGGCGAACTTTCAGATTACTTTCCCCATCAAGATTCATCGTCTCGATATAACACAGTCCTTCAAGATTGCTAGACGACAAAAACACCAGGTCTGCAGGGAAAGGTTGGTCTTTGCTCACCCGCACAACATCACCTACCACTACATGCTTCCACGGACGGCTCTCTAATCTCCCTCCCTCCACCCACACATCAACCACCCTCCCATTCACTTTCTCATCGGACGCCGCTCGTTTCCAGTCCTCCACCCCTTCTTTGATGATCGACACCCCCAACACCAGTATAAGTGGGGTTATCGTAGCTAGGGGATTGACGGGTGATATCTCGGTCAGTGAGAGAGCGGCCACGAACGTGAAGTATACGTTGGCGATTCTCCTGAATTGCTCAAACAACGCCTTGGGAAGGAATGTCCAGAGACTGTACTTGGTAGTAGAGATCATGTTGGATTGGAAGGTGACTTGCTCGGGATTGGTCCACGTGTCAATCAGATGAACGGTGCGGCCGCGATCCTGTTCAGAGCTTGCATCGTCGCCCACAACTAGTCGTAGAAAGGAATGGAGCATTCGGGAAGGACGGGAGTAAACGGACCACAGGGCACTAGAGACTCGTTGTTCCAAAAAGCTGCTCCTTCTCCGCCTACTCCTCCTCCTCCCCCTCCTCCCCAGCGTCTCGCCTTCAGTTCGTGGGCCATCCGTGGAAGACCCCGCTGCCTCTCTACCGGTCATTTCTGCATCCAGCTCATCCTCTCCATACTCCGCCTGCCAAAGGGTCCGCTTCCTAGCTCTCCTCGCTTCTCTTCCTTCTCTCCCATCAATCCCGTCTTCCTCATCGTCCTCCTCGTCAGTATCCATCTTCCCCCGTCCTCCTCCTCCCCCTGTTCCTCCTCCTCCTCCTCCTCCTCCTCCTCCTCCTCCTCCTCCTCCTCCTCCTCCTCCTCCTCCTCCTCCTCCTCCTGCTCCTCCCCCTCCTCCTCCTCCTCCTCCCTGTTCCGCTCTCCGCCCTCTCCCTCTGCTACCTCCTTCTCCAGCACTGGACTCCTCACCGCCTCTTTCCGCTTTTTCCGCTTTATCTCGCCCGTCCGTCCCCTTCTTCCCGCCAGTTTCGTCCACAGGGGTCCCGATCTCCTTACGTTGGCCTGCGCTGCCATCGGGATCGGGTTGACCGGGACGAGAGGAGGAGGGGGAAGAGCGAGAGGCGGAGAAGGGCCCTTGTCCGGCCACGTCGTGGCTGACAGAGGCAGGCGTCGTAGGTTGCTTTGAACCGTAGAGGAGAGCGTCCTCTCCCTCCAATACCTCCACAGGATAGGCTGCCTCCCCCTCCATTTGAAAACGAGCCTCCACATTTCCTATGCCCGTTGGCGCGAAAACCATTAAGCCGGATTGATCAACTCCTGCCGTTTCCCCCCCCCCCCCCCCTTGATTGCGCTCGAGATCGCTGTCGCTCGTTGGGTGCGACGACGATTGACCTTCCTTAGACCCCAACACCTCAACAGGATGCGCTGCCTCCCCCCCCTCCATTTGAGACCTAGCTTCCACATTTCCTACGCCCGTTGTCGCTGAAGACATCATTAAGCCGGATTGATCAACTGCTACCGCTTTCTCCCCCTCCTCCTCCCCCTCCCGCTCCCCCTTCCCCTCCCGATTGAGCTCGAGATCCCTGCTGCCGCTCATTGGATGCGCCGATTGACCGTCGTCCTCAGACCCTCCACTCGCCCGGCTATGGCCGCTTCTGAGTGCCTCTGCTGCTGCTGCTGCTGCTGCTGCGAAGGAGGAGGAGGAGGAGGAGGAGGAGGACGTGAAGACGGAAAGATCCTCCTCCAAGCTGATCACCTGCTGTTCAACCTGCACTTGCCTAATTAAACCAGACTCGAGCTGCCCAAAGAGGAAAGCATGAAAGGGTTCCGCTGGTCGTCGAAAGCAAGGCACCAGCAACCCGATACATGGTCCAGCAGAGCGCGCCCCCCTTGCAGACATGTCAGCCGAGAGATTGACTGTGATCGGGATGTCAGAATGCTCGAGAACAGAGATCCCCCTGCTCCTGCTCCTGCTCCTGCTCCTGCTCCTGCTGCTGCTGCTGTTGCTGCTGCTGGGGCAGCGGCGATGGCTGCGGTGGGGTCGTGCCGTCTGTTCCTCCTCCAGAGGCAGAGGGTCGGTATCCCGAAAATCTCCAATCGATTGAGCATCGTACACAAGAAGCCTGCGTTCATGGCAGAGAGAGAGGGCAAGGTGAAACCTAAGAGCACACCTGCACTTGATGATGTGAAACTGTGCTGCACTCGGGAATGCATCTGACCCGAGTTACGCCCACATTCGGCGGGACTAATGGTAGTTCCGGTCTCAGACTACGGACGACGTATGGCCCTGCTGCTGAGAAGAGGACGTCGATGATGCTCTCGCTTAATCAGGTGCAAACAGACAGCGATCAGCGACACGTGGCAGTGAATGCTAGCATCATCAAGGCAGTGAGTCGAGCTTGATGAGGCTCGATTGACTTGCATCGACGATGCTCGATTCACTGCCACCCCTGTTGAGATAACCACACACCCATCAACTACACGTGACAGCTCATCAGGCTTTATGATTGATGATGCTTCATCCACTGCCACGTGTCCAGCTAATTAGACGCCGACCAACTACACGTAACAGTCCCTCGGGCTTGATGATGCTCGATTCATGGCCACGTTTTGAGCTAACCAGACACCCAAAAAAAAAAAAAAAAAAAAAAAAAAAAAAAGCTAAC